TTTAAATCGTGTCCCAGTTTGTTTTAGTTAAGACTTTGTTGGTTTAATAATAATTGAATTGGTTGGTGAATATCAGTTTAAACTGATTTACAGAGCTATTTTTACAACTGTACACTTTGCACGCTTTAAAAAACGGAGAGTCTTTCCCCGTTTTTTATGCCTGTTTGACATCTAAAACAAAAGAGACTTATTCCAAACTATTCAATCAAATTGAAAGATTGTGTGATAAAGAAGTGTTTCACAATAATGTTGTCGTTATGGGGATTTTGAGGTTGTACATTTTAAAGACCTGTTTGGAAGTGAGGTGACAATAAAATGTTGTCATTTCCACTTTTGCCAATCTCTGTACAGGAGAGTATTGACAATGGGATTGTCTCGCTGTTTTGTGGAAGGAGACACTTTTAAGTTGGGTGTCAAAATGCTCATGGCAACTGCTTATTTACCAGAAGATGTTATTGTTGAAACATTCAAATGAATCAAAGGTGAAATGGGTGGTGATGAAGATTTTGAAAAGTTTCTAGAGTATTTCGAAAACAACTATATCAAAGGCGTGTTTAGAACAGCAAATTGGTCGGTGTTTGGATTATCTGAAAGAACAAATAACAGGTCAGAAAGTTTCCATTCCGCACTTAACAGATACATCGGCACGACACATCCAGTTATCCATAAGTTTTTGGAAAAATTGTTGTCTTTTCAAAAAATTATCAATTTGAAATATCAAGCATATGAAACTAACATTCAAAAAAGTCGCCAATCAAATTTGTCGATTAAGAAAAATTTGACATTAGAAGAACTACAAAACCAATGATCGGCGAAAACAAACTTGACCCAATTGCTTTCCTTAAAAAATGTGTGACCATTTTATCTAGCAAGCAAAACATATTTCTGTTTGATTTGGATATGAATACTGCAATCAAACAAGTCAACGAAGAAAATGAAATGATTAAAATTACGAGAAAAGTACAATTACAGAAGTTGCCAACAATTATCATTTTTGCCATTCATCGCATTATGAAATAGAAGATCCACACAACAGTTCAAATTAGAGCACGATTGTTTCTGTTATTATGGAAAAAGATGTCAACACTTTAAATGACAGGTTAAAAGACTTGAAAAAGAAAACTAAAAAAGCAACCAAAGCTCACAATGAAAAAAAAGCCAAGAAAAGAGTCTGATTATCAGAAAACTAAAAAATTGAGAAAAGTTATCAGAAAACGCAGAAATTAATAACTGGTTTTTAGTGTTTGGTTTAAAAAAAGTTAGTTGATATTGAAACATATTTAGAGCAAAATTTATATAAAAAAGAAACTTGATTCATAATTGTTTAGTGTTGAACTTTTGTTGATTTTTTGCAGGCGAAAAAAAAATACAGGCGAAATATAATCGGGCGAATTTTCCTAAACCCTAATTTTCGACCAAGTATTAATTTATTATTTAATTAATTATATTTATGGGATGCTTCTCCGTCGCATCCCCCATTTTTTTCATAAAGTCAGTCTGGTAACGGGACTTACATTGACAACCACCTTTACCAAAATAAAATATTTGCCTCGATTGTTTTTTGAAGGGAGTCCACTTTTCAGCCACTGTTTGTGCGTCCCCATGTCACCCACTTTCCTTGTCCGTACTGTGTGGACGCGGATGTGGTTCCCCCCCCCCCCCGCTTGCGGGGGGTCAGGGGGATCCGCGCCAAGGGAGGACTTGGAAAGTGGGTGAAACGGTGCACAAACAGACTGTTTGAGTGCGTCTTTATGAGCCTTCTTTTCTATGCTCAGTCTCACTCGGTTTCCACTAACTCGAGGTGAATTTTCGGCATTTTTTGAATTCGGGAACCAGACCTAATATTATCCCAGTTTCCTATTTACTATAATTTTAATTTGAATATGATTCGAAATAGAAAAAATAAATCTATTTTAAGAGGTGGTGGTGGTCAATGTAAGTCCCATAAATTTGTTATTTAAAAATTACATTTTTAGAAAATCAGTGTTTTCGACTTTTTCAATTTTCATTTCGATTAAAAAACAATTAACAATTTAAATGTAAATTTTAATTATTATGTTATAAAGACGGATTCGGAAATAATTTCAATAAGTATATAATCATAATATGAACAAGTTTAATTCATGTTTTGTTATTTCCCGTCTCAAGTTCGCGAGATATAATTATTGTTTTTGTTTACTGATTATTGTGGCGATTTTTTGATTGTATTTAATTTTTTGGCATTTATGACAAATTATTACCATTATTTAAAAATCGAACTTTGACTTGAAATATTAAGTGTAAATTATAACTTGAGTTATGAAAGTGGGCCTTATGGGGAACTGAACCTTATGGATTTGATTTTTGTATCCTCAGAAAAATATTTTTTAATAAGGATAGCTTTAATCCTGAGGATACACCTTATCCTCAAGAAACCCTTAAGGTGTCCAGAAAATTAATGTTTATTAATAATTTTGGGAACTTTTTTTCTTGATTAAAAGTGATTGAGTATGAATTTTGAAGTTTTATAAAAGAGAAATTAAACAATTGTTAACAAAAAATGAAAATTAGTAGTAGTTTCATCAGGGCTTCGTAAATTGGGACAATAAAGTGTAAGTTTAGAAAAAAGACCAAAAAACAGAAAAAAAACAAATATTTGATTGATTTGTTTAGAAAATGATAAACTTTTTTAGGATATATTTTCCCGTTTATTAAAGTACAATTTTACTGTTTGTTACAG